ACATTATCAAGTCTTCTACTATACATGGTTGGAAAGATATCATAATACTTGTGGATACTATTGATTATATTTGAGGAAACTTCTGATATCATAAAACTTAAAATATTCCGGCCAACTGGTCGGGTCCAAGCTAGTATACAAAAAAGAGCAACAAAAAGAGAGTCGAATAACTATGAGTTAGAAATCGCCATCCACATGGGTTTAGCTTTAAGAAACCATTCCATGGATGTAATTTGGTTTGATGGGGTTATTTTGGAGGGGAGAGCACCCAAACCCAATGTTTTAACCAGTAGTAGATACCAACACCATTAACTTACACATATATATGATTTTATCATTATTCTCCTTGTGATCACCTAAAAATGGTTTGTGACGGTTGTGTGATGTTGGTTGAATATTGGGTCTATCAGTTATATACGAAATTAATTTCATATTTTAATATTGAAACTATGATAATTGTTATTTGTGGTGAATTGAAAAGAAAGAAGCCCGAAAGTTGCGGGGAAGCCAAGAGGCTGATAGATAGATAGATTTTTCATTACAAAAATGTGTAAAAAAAGTGTACATAATGGTAGCGGCAAAATGCAACGTAAAAAGAAAATTCAAAATTGTTAAAATTTGGCTTTTACCTCCTTAGAATAGCGCTTTTTTTCCGCCAAAAATTTGCGTGTCTTTAGAATTCGTCCCCCAGAAACGTTTCCTTCATTCTGACCCCCCATTCTCATTCTATCTTGCATGTCGTCAATCTGAGAGAGAGAGAGAGAGAGAGAGAGAGAGAGGCGATGGCGGTTCCGCGTTTCTGCCAACGAGTAGAGAGGAAGAGAGAGTTGACGATTCCAATCATTCCATCGACTGGCGACGGCGGTTCCGCGTTGCTGCCGACGAGTAGAGAGAGAGAGAGAGAGAGAGAGAGAGAGAGAGAGTCGACGATTCCATCGATTGGAGACAGCTGGAAGATAAAGAGTTAGTGAAATCTCGCTTTTCCTTCTCCTTTTCCTTCCCCGAATTTTTGGTTTTCGTTTTCAGTTCTTTGATTTCCTCTTTGTTTGGCACGAGATGCATACAAAACAAATCTGGATTGGTAAGAGCGGCAGCTATGGTCTCATTCCCTCGGATTAAAAAGGCCCCCTAAGGAACGATTGCAGGTAGTTGCTATGCAAGTTTTCATTTCGTTTATTTGAGTTCCTATGAAAATCAGGACATGACTGGACACTCCCCAATTACTGAGTCCAAACTTTGGGTTTCTGAACTCGTTTCTTTTATTTTGTTTTGTTTTCATGTTGATTTGGGGCTTGCGAATCGGGGGAGGAGGAGGAACTTGAAGGAACTTGGAGGAGTTAAGGTGCTTCGAGAAGGCCATGAATGGGAGCATCACAAGCAGGGTACTGGGCATCGAAAACAGGTATCTAAGCCTCGAGTGTTTGTTGACAGATCTGGCGTTTGTTGATAGATGGGTTCTAAACAGAACATAAAAATAATCAAAATAGAACATAAAAGTCATTTAAATAGATCAGAGCTACTTCGTTCAGTTCTCGCGGCAGATGTTTTCCGAGTTCAATTTAACTGCTAGCCAGGTCTGTTTCACACAAAAGAAAAAGAAAAAAAAACAAAACAAAGAAGAAAATCCAGGTATGTCCTTTCAATTGCAAACAGTTCATGTCCCGCAATGTACCCTTCGTCCAACAAAAATATGAAGTGTCAATGGAGTTTACTTTTGTGAAATATACCAAGATAAAAGATTTTGTCCCCTAAAATCAATAATGAAATTGTAAACTCAATAAAAAGTGGTCATTGCTTTCCATGGGCGTTTCAACTTCTTGCTATGGAAGTGCTAGTGAACTTCATTTGTTTTTCTTGATGCTTCTGTTCTTTGCACCACGGGTTCTAGTCTGATGTTGTTTCTATAGCAGACCAAAATAAGATAAAATAATATTAAAGATGTAACTTCCAACACAAAGAACCATCTAATCTTGCTGGTTAAATCATTAGTGTGATTGGAAAAGTACCAGTTCATGTTCATCGCCTGGACGATCATCATGCCGACTAGTACTCCCAGCACTATGTCCTGTATGCTTCTTAGCTCCCTTCTCTGCTCCCTTCTCTTGTTGACTAGTTTTGCTCCTAGTACGTGCCCCGATCTGTTAGAGGGCAAATAAACTCTTAAGCTAATAGCCATTTCTAACAAATCGATAATTTAGTGAATAAACAAATGATATATAACCTTCTGTTGTGGCTGACTTTTCCCTATGGGCTCTCCAGTAGTATTATGCCTGCTCGTTCGTTGCTCTGGTAAAAAGAAAATAACATTTGTAGTTTATTAACTCTAATAACTATATCAAGAACACTTAACCAGAGATGCTAATTACCTTTTGGGGCTGATCACCTTGGTCATCATCTCCATCATCGTCGTCTCCATCTTCTCCATCGTCCCCATCATCGTCCATGTCATCGTCGTCATCCTCCTCATCAGATTGAGATTCTACCACGTCGGCTGGGGGGTTAGTACAAGTGCTCCTATAATGCCCATCCCTTAGCCCGCAGTTCCCACACTTTCTTCTTTTTTTCTTAAGTGGTTTTTTCCCTTTTCCTTTCCTACAACCCTTAAACCTCACTTGATTTGGGTTCAATACATCTTTGAACTTGTATGGTATGACAATCCTTTCTCTCTCGGCGGGGGTTTTCTTTACCATCTCCAACTTGTTACACGCTGCTGTCAACTCATCTTGAGCCATTCGAGAAGAGAGAGGAGTGTCTACTCCTAATAAGCAGAATCGTTGAGCCATGAACTGTAGCGACCCGTACCTAATGCTGAAACTGCTGTCATCCCCCAATGTACTTGGTTCTGGCAGAGTGTGTAAGGACTTTGGGTTCTTCGAGCAACGTCTGAGTACCAGTTTTTCAGGAATAGTCTTCACTTTTTCTTCTTTGAGAACAAATAGCATATGAACGCAGGGTATCCCAATACTCTTAAACTTTTGACAACTGCATTCCATATTGCTTGTTTCAATGTTGTATTTCACCTCTATGACCTTCTCTTTGTTGAACATGGTAACAGTGTAAGTGTGTAGGTTCCCCTCTTCAGTTTGGTTACCCTTAATGACTCCAATAACCTCCTCCAACTCATTTTTGAACAAAAGAAATGCAGCCTTTGAGAAGAGCTTTGCTGCACTTTGCTCGAGGGGCTTTAGGATTGAATTCTTTATAGGAACTACACCATAATTAGACTCAAAATCTAATCTAATCTCTGTCTCTCTCATGTCTCTGAGCCACCGGTCGTATTGAGTGAAAAAGTCAAGCAAACAGAACCTCTCATTTTCATACCTTGCAACAACTGCATTTATGCTTTCACATCTTGATGTGGTTGTCAACCCAGCAAAGAAATGTGAGCGCAAGTATGTGTCCGCCCATTCGTTGCGTCTCCCAAATAGTTTTTTCGACACCCATTGGTTGTTCTGGAGTTCGCATTCCTCTACCAATGCATTCCATTTCTCCTCAAATTCTTCTGGCTCGTACTCAGCAGTTACTAACTTCTTCCACCGGGGTTCAAAGTCGGGTCGATTCTTCACCCTGCCAGTGATATTCTTGGACAAATGCCATGCACATAGCCGATGTGTTGCATTTGGAAACACATTAGCAATAGCTTTCCTCATTGCTTTATCCCCATCCGTGACAACTGTACATAGCGGAATGTCCCCCAACATTTCCTTCACTATCTTCAACGCCCAAATATATGTTTCGTCAGTCTCATTGGGCAACAGTGGACTCCCGAATAAGCAAGTTTTGAAGTGATGGTTGATACCTACAATGTCAAACAGAAACTCGGAAAAATCAGAATCTTTTGAACTAGCAGGAGAAAAGCTAAAACTGTGAGGAATATGTAAACAATGGTAGAGTTCATATAATCAGAAACTTGTTGTTTTCTAGATGCCATTATGTGTATTCAAACAACAAAGCAAAGGATAATACTTAGAGGGCATACTAGGATGGCGTACCTGTAAAAATGACCAGTGGCATATTGTAAATGCTTTTTTGGTACGTTGTGTCAAATGCGAGCAACTCTCCAAAACACGAAATGTCGGCTCTGCAAATGCTGTCAGCCCAAAATAAAAAATGGAGCCTTTTTTCCTCATCAGTAGTGTATCGGAGGAGGAAGTGTGGGTCTGTGCTTTTCTTTGATTCTAGATAGGCCAGTGCAGTTGCTGCATCACCCTCGCTGATTCTCTCAGCGCGGTCTTTGGTGCTGAAATTTAACCCATCTTTAACTGTATACCCAAGTTTGTCATGCCCTCCAGCACAATGCACAGCAAGCTTAATGGCCTGAGAAGGTTTCATTCCGGCATCCTTTTTAAATCGGAGGTCTGCCTTGTCTGCTTCTGATAATCGCTGTCAAAAGAAGGTTTCATTCCGGCATCCTCAAAATGATTGAATTCCTGACCGATAAAAGGAGAATTTTGAATAACGTTTGTGTCATCCTCCTGTACAGTAGGACAATCGCTGTCAGAGGTCATTGTTTCTGGTATGATTTCAACATCGCTGTCTTCATTGTTGTTGATATTATCTCCCTCTTCCTCCATTGGTGTACCGTCTTTTTGCTGTTTGTGGGGAGGGGCTGAATCGGGCGCAAAGCAGAGGTCTTTTTGCTGTTGTTGTTAACCTAATCCGTTTTCACGTGTTATTAGTTTTTTCTATTTTTTTCCGTCATGGTGTACAGTATTTTTTTTTATATTTTAGTACTTTAAATTTTTATTATATTGTTTCCCGTTATGGTTACTAGTTGGATAAAGAATGCAACTAATAAAGAATGCTTGAATTACCGAAAAAAAATACTAAAGAATGCTTGCGTGTTATATATGGTAGATTCAACTTCCAAATAGGTGATGCGGATTGTTTCCATGTTAATTATTACCCGTAAAAATATTATTTTCCTTTTCCATGTGGAGGTTAATGAGGAAGATAAAGTTTCCAGTATCCTTATAGAGAAAAACACTCACCCGTTGGCCCTAGTTTAAGAATGCTAACTCCTTTTCTGCATTCACCAGAAGCTCATTCAGGACAGGAGCTCGGTCAGGGGGGCAGAAACTAGGAGCAATATGCAGAACGATAAGGACGGGAGGATGATGACAAAACGCAAGACCAGAAGTTCTTCCAAATTAATGGTTCGTCAATTTGCATTCTTGTTTTCCCGTTTTCTCCATCGTTGGCAGATTATGCTTCCAAACTAAATAAGGCATTGTGTTTTTATTACGATGAATTCTGATGCTGGAGAAGGATCAATCTCGAGGAAAGAAAGGTAGAACTGAAGATGGTGTGATCCAGATTGATGGTGATTTGCAGGCAGATTGGAATGACTTAGTTTGGAAAGGCCGTGCCAGATTTTCTTACTTACAATTCGACAAGAAGGTCTGATAATCTAGCCCACCAATTTTCCCCACTTAGAACAAAATCAATTGTTTTTATCCTTATGTTTCGTCTTCTATTGTAGGGTGAAACAAAGTTTACACTTCCAACAGTTCTCAAGTACACTAGAGAGGAAGTGAACCTTGCCCACTACATATTTGCGAAGGATCTTCCACAAAAGGAAGTCCTGGTTGAAACCATGATGCAATCCTATACACGAAAGGTGTTGTGGTCCCTCTGCCCTAAGTCTAATGTCGATGATGATGTAATTACAGCCATGGCTTGCCAATTGAGCCTGGAGGAAGTTTGGAGGAATGTTGGGGATGGAAGAGTAGTCTGTTATCTGCCTGCTGAACTACAAGTATAGTCCCATTTACTTTGTATATTTATTTTAGGTGCAATATTCCGTTTCTCCTATTGAATGTGTTATCTTCTATTTTAAATGAACCATGATCAGGAAATGGTAATCAACTATGGCATGACATCAAAAAAAGCTCTAGAGTGTTATGGTGCAAAGTTCTTGGCAAGAGCTCACACGTGCAGAAAGGTTTCTTCTTAACAATTCCTTTCTTGTTTCATTGAAATATTCCTCAATTACTGTTTCTAGCTACTGTTTGAATTGGATATGCGAATAAATTAGATGTTCCATCAAGCTTTTGATATTTCTATAAATTGTATTTTACAATGCTAAGCTGAGTTTGGTCTTTTTCGTCGTTATTTAGGTGTGTCTGCCCATGAAAGATGCAATGGACGGTGATGCAGTTCACTGGTATTTAGCTTTCATTATGCTGGACGACAAACAAGTCCATCTATTGGATTCGTATCCTTCTAAAAAGCGCCAAAGATCTCGGAGAAACGCAGTAGTAACTATGGTATGGTTTGACCTCCTGATCCTAATACAGTTATATCTCTAAATTGATTTGTGTATTCATCTATCCCGAATAAAGTGATTACTGCTTGTGTAGATCGAATTTCTTGATGACTTGTTTGAGGATCTTTATCGGCAAGTGGAACCAACGCTTGATCCACCTGTGCTGGAACAATTTTCTTTGACAATTCCTTCAATTCCCGAACAACGTCACGAGTAAGAATTGTTCGTTGTGAACAAATTAGAAACATACTTAGATACCCACCACTCATATGATGCATCTTATTTTATGTAGGTCTGATAGTGGCGTTTGGGTGTGCTCATGGATGATGGGTGCATCTTGGGATGCTTCTTATAATCTATTGGTAAGCAAGAATTCTCCTACTTGGCCTTGAAGGAAAACAACCTTTCGAAACAGCTACTAAGCCTCATTGTCATTGTCAAACTGTTGCAGCCATGCGGAGATATAAGGAGAATGCAACTAGCTTTGTATCTGGTCCAACACCCTACAAATTACATAAGACATGTCGTCATCGAGGAAGAAAATAGTAATGCATCGAGATTTGTTGCCCAGAGTCGTAGGTACAAGGAGGAAAGCCAAACGAGCGTAATCCAGAACTAGAAGATTCATAGGGAGATGGTGGTTCATTTCTCCTGCAGTAGTATATTCTGGATATTTGGTTGATTAGTTCTCATGCCAGTACTCTAGTTTTGTTTCCCTTTTCATTTTCGTTGAGAACCAAAACAATACCCTTGAATTGTTTGAATTGTCTGCTTGTCTCTTTCCCTTTTCATGTTCGTTGAGAACCAAAACAATACACTTGTTATTGGGTTAAAATTTTGTTATTGAAGCTATTTGTTGGATCCAACATATTTATGTTTGCTCCGATGAACGCATAATCTTCGGCGTCCTCCGGTGCCAAGATATGAGATATCCAAAGGCCAAAGCCAAAGCCAAGAATTGGAGCGTTTTTTGGGCCGAAATAAAGATAACAAAAAACCCCACTGACCAGGAGAAAGGTCAATAGTTTCTTGACGCGGAAACTGGTTCAGGTTTTTTGAGTTTATCCGGTGTGGACTTAAGAGGGAAGAAAGTTCCAAGATGATGGTCGAGAAGGAAGTAAAGGAAAAAAAATTTGGGTGATGTGATTCGAACCCAGAACCTCATTTAACTACAATAGCAATTTTCCGCTGGGAATGGGGGAGAAACACGCGACTAAATTTCCAGGAAACTAGATTTTGTTGTTTTGTAGGAGAAATGAACCACGTTTTTTTTACTCATATTTCTTATTTTTTGTTGTGACAACAAAAAACATAAAATGAAATGGCAAGTGAATGGGGCATAAGGCTCAAGCCTAGGCGCCTTCTATAAGCCTTATCTCAGCTGAACAAGCATCAGGAACAAAGCCACAAAAACGTGAACCAACATTCGGATTTAAGAAAAAATAAAGGTAAACACCAAAACCAATCTAAAATGAATTCAATTGGGATCAAAGTGATAGTAAAACCGACCGACTACCAATAAAACAAAAACAACTACTTTTCTAAAATGAATCAAATAAACTCTTTTGGCATTTTGAGCTGATTTTCCCCTTGAAATGTCTTTCATAAACGGCCCTTGCTTCATCAATAATTTGAGAGCGCCTTGTATTTGAGAGATCTTTGACTAAACTTATGGCCAAGGATAGTCGACCTCTATTACTACAAACCTGCAGCAAATTTATGACATTACTCTTAACATGTTGATTTCGATTTGATAGTGTAGAATCTCACGTGGATGGAATCATATTTAGAAGGAAAGGATTGTATTATACCGCCGTATACGAATTATTATCAGCCTCTCCGTGCAACATCCACTGACAGACGTAAAACCCGCACTCATAGCTACGTGGAAAAATAGCATTTATTATTGAAAATAAGATTGTGAATCGAAATGAAATAATCAAAATACTCAAAGAAATACTAACTCATCAATTTGTTTAGAAACGTATGGAGGACTTATGATTTGGAACTTATGCACTTTGGGCACTTCATAGGTTGATGGCTTGTCTGGAAATTCTTGAAGCATCTTGTAAAAGAATTTCAACTGTAACAACAAACTTAACCATGTAACTATTACAGTACAAAAATATAAAAAAAAATTGACTTACTAAATGTACACGAAGGGAATAGTTTGATCACCCACCATTCCTTGCACCCTTTTCCTACGATTTTCCAGCAAACCCAAATCACAACGCAAAGAGTCCACTACATGCACTACCTTTCGGTCCATGAAAACCACAATAAGAAACCAATGGCGGTTCTCATCATTCATTGACAAATATATCTGAAATAAATAAACAAGTAAATGATGACGAAAGAATGAATGGACTATACAGTAAAGGGCAAAACATTAAGAGAATATAGTATCCTGGAAAAATTACTAATATTATTACACCATACCTTGGTGCATTCAAAGGTGCCGCAAAGATATAGGTTCTTATATTTTTCCACGGCTTTTTTTGGAGTCCAACCCATTTTCACAACCAAATCCTGGGTAGCAGTTCACATTCACTATTCAACTTTGGGAGAAAGAAAAAAGTAAACTTAATGTAAAGAGTTTTCCATAATTGTTGCTTACCTCAAAATTGGATGGAAGATACCAAGGTCCATTTTTCCCCCAAGCCCTAACATCAACAGCTAATTGACAAGCTACAGCAGTCAAAATCTAAAATAAGCAAAACCCAAGATTAGTATTGCTAATATGTGGTCAAGTATGCCTTACCAAAACAGAACTACAAAATACTTACATAACCATGAAGCCACGTTTCTGGCAGCAAGTCCTTCAGTTCTAGACGACTTAAGCTATGACCAAAATTCTCAACAAGCCATTTATCATCTTGTAGACCATCACCAAAGATGAAACACGCAATGGAACGATCCTCATCATTATCTAACGCCATTATTGCAGTCACCGGAAATTCCACCTATGATTTGAATTTACCAAAACTTACAATACATAGGTACATCATAAACATTTTAAAATCACACAGGTGTAATTTCTTTAAATAAATTCTATATACCTTCCCCGATACATTTATATATTCCACAGCCGCATTTTTTGGCCTCTTGTGTGAATCATCGCCATCTGCGTCTGAGTCGGAATCTATATAGATAAATCCGTTTACGCTAGGTGTGAAAGGAACAACAGTGGGAGCTGAACTTCCAGATGCAGTCACCGGAGATTCCATCTACGATTTGAATTTAACAAAAATTACAATACATAGGTACATCATAAACACTTTAAAATGACACAAGTGCCAATTGTTTAAATAAATTCTATATACCTTCACCGACTCATTTAAATCTTCCTTGACCGCATATTTTTGCCTCTTGTGTGAACCATCGCCATCGAGATCTGAGTCTAGGTTTGAATCAATATAATAAACTCTTTTTACGGTAGGCGTGACAGGAACATCAGTGGGAGGTGAACTTCCAGATGCTTGATCAAGAATGCGTTTCGACATCCTCTTTAGCACTTGAAATTCAGTATCAGTTTTCATAATCATTGCAGTCAAAGATTTAATCTTATCGTACAACTCAGTGAACGTCGTCTCCATGGCTCCAAAGGTAGTCGATATGGATCCAACAACTTTCTTAGTATCATGGCTCGACATGCTAAACAACAAAACAAAAGAAAGAACATACATGAAACAAACAAAAGTCATAAACAAACAAAAGAACATACATGAAAGGAAAAGGGTTGTAAGAAAGGAACAGCACAAACGACCAAAAGAAAGAGCTATTTTAGTTGTTGCACTGTACCGAGATTTCTCCAGTGCAATTAGTTTCTCCCCGCCAACACAGAAGAAAAGCCTTACTTTTGCTAAAGTCACCAGGGAAAACGGCAGGAGTTTTTTTTTTTACAAGGTAAACTCTAGGCTTGGCGTCCCTTTATATAGACCGCCAAACAAACCTAATTTATTAATACCATTACGTCCAAAAAAAGAATTCCTCTATTGACACCTAAACTGATCCAACTAAGGAAAGCAAGCCTATTAACAAGGAGTACAGATTAAATCCCCACCAATGACAAGGCTATTTACAAGCATATTCCTCTATTGCGTTTGGCTCCACCACCGAACGAGGGAGGCCATCTCCACTAGCTATAAAGAACACCTGAAGAATGAGAATCAATTTATCAGTAGCCAACCTAGTACTGTTTCTTTCTTGACCAAAAAAAATTTCGGCCATCACTATTTATGAACCGAAGACAGACGTAATTGCACATATCACATATGCATTGGAGAGAGAGAGACAGAGGAAATGATAGACCTTCAAGATATCGAAGTCTTCATCCATCATAACAACATCTAAATCAGAGAATGCACGAGAGGGGCCTCAGTTAAGCAACACCCAAACATATCCCTACTGTAGCAAGATAATGTGTACAAATTATATACAAGCTTTAATGGAAGGTTTGCGAATTCAAAGTACAAAAGAGAATTTGAAGACCTACCAACGATGCTCGGCAAACGCTTAACAACACCGAGTCTCTGAATTTATCATCAATCAATCGGCATATCTAATCAAGAACCTGAAAATTATATGCAAGTTCAGCTAAGAGAAGCAAGCAAGACAAACAAAGAGGAGGCTCCACTGAATGAAATTTCCCTAGCGAGAAGATCCAACATCACCTATTGGGCCTGGTACAAAAGGCCTGCTTAGTTTAGTTTTATGTTTTAATTTTACAAGAACTAATTTTTAAGTTATAAATAAAAAAGTGTTTGTATATTGAATCAAAATCCTTGTACAGCATGAATGGTGAACAATGCCCTTGGTAACCACCAGGACGCTGGTTCGACCCTCATACCATTATAATTTTTTTTCCAGCTACACCTATAGAACGACGCCGTTCTCCAGGCCACTTTCGATTCAGAGACAAGCACAAAACGATGCCGTTTTTTCATGTATCGTCGTCTTCCCTAGCCCCCCAAATTCCCAATTATCCAGTTGCCGCCGTCACCACCGTAATCCGACGGCCGTCTCTCTTCATCGTCCAAACTTTCTCACTATTCTGGACTCCGACCAAGAGAATTCCCTTGACGAGACCCAATCCCCTCTCTCCATTTCAGCCTTAGTCATTGTTTACAGGACGTAAAGGTCAAAGACGTTCACTGTCAATTGACGGCAGCGTACGACAGCGTACCTACCCACCGCTATCGGCGATCCGCACTTCGGCCCACCTCTCGAGTCTGCACTCTTCACTTCTCCGATCCTTCCTCATCCGCCTCTCGAGCACAAGATTCAATCCATCATGCCTCGAACAGATCACTCTCTTAATCCATAGAGGGATTAAACATCGATGGGAAGCGCAAAATCCAATTGCTTCAATCGATAGCCAGGATGAGAGGAGAGGGTTCGTTAGCCACTACAGACAGCAATTGGAAAGGGGGTTTGAGCGTTGACATGAGTGGGAAAAGGAATAAATCACCAAACTAAAATTGTAAGTAAATATAACTTAATGGATTGGAGACATGATTATAATAAAATTTGGTACTATAATTCGAAAATATGTTGAAAAGTTTGTTTAGGGATTAAAGGGTACGCATAAAAAAGTAATAGGACTAACTAATCATTTAAAAATTGTAAAAATTAAACACCGTTAGATTAGATCTACGGTGTAGAAATCCTGTCGCATAGTATGTGTCTGACGCATACGAGTGTGACCCATATATATATATATTCCTTTGGAAGTTAATGCTTTGATTGCTACTTGCTAGCAAATTCAACATTAACTGCATGAATAGCTTGGCGCAAGTAGCTCCGGCGACCGTTTCCATCCCGTCGGGACGGTCACCGGATGATCCAGCTTCAGAAACTGGTCCCCTGCTTTTGTCTGGGGAGATGAAAATGTTGGACAAACCCACTGGGAATGAAGCGATTGCTGACATGGTGGTGGACGAGACACAAACAGCTGCTAACCGAATGGAGGAGGCTCTGACGACAAGGATGGAGACAGTCATGGGCTCGGATCCAAGCAAATCGCGTACCGCAATCGGAGTCGGGATGTCGAACGCCCCTGACAACAACCCCCAATCCTCGCAACCGATCTCCTATGCTGGGTTGCTAACAGGGGGAAGGAATCCGGCCAAACTCTCTGCGGCTCAATGAGTTCCGGTTGGGGAGCATGATCTGATCACTAGATCTTTTCAAGGTGAGCCTGAATTAAGGATTTCCGAGAATTTCAAATCTCAGCTCAGTAAGCCCTGGCAAAGAACCCTTGTCGTGCGTCTCCTAGGAAGAACCATTGGCTATACAACTCTGTGCAACAGGCTCCGTGCCCTCCGGCGACCTTCTAATGCGTTGGAAATTTTTGCTTTGGACGAGGAGTGCTTTCTGGTCAAGCTAGGAAACGATGAAGATTACTTCAAGGCGCTCACGGAAGGCCCCTGAACAATTTTTGACCACTACCTCCTGGTTCAACAATGGACGACGGGATTTAGGGTTACGGACAGTCTACCCAAAACGATGGTGGTCTGGGTCCAGTTCCCCGGCCTACCGGTGCATTTCTATCACAAAGAACTGCTCTTCACTATGGGTAATCTCCTAGGAAGATCCATCAAATTTGACTATCTTACACAACACCAACAGCGGGCGAAGTTTGCTCGGATGGTAGTTGAAGTTGACTTATCGAAACCGCTGGTACCGAGGATCAGATTAGACGGCCGGTGGCAGCAAGTTGAATATGAAAACCTCCCTGTAGTATGCTTTGAGTGTGGTATAGTGGGTCATACGAACGTCTCATGCCAATCGAGGGACCAGGGCGCGAAAGGGGCTTCTGATCTTGGTGCCTTGGCATCGGCGGTGGTTGTGGCCGGCGGGTCCTCGCCGGAGTCCAATGCCGGCTTCGGACCTTGGATGGTGGTAACGCGCAAATCACGGCGAAATCAGAAAGATAACGCCACAAAAGGTAAGACAGCGGAGGCCTTGGCGATCACCAACGGGCAGAAGAAAGATGGAGAAAGGAAAGAGAGCGAAAATTCGGGGAAATCTTCATCTCAAAGAAGTGGGATCTCGCTGCAAAAGCAACGGCAACAGACAGGGGAAATACAAGCGGCGAAGTCTGAGGGGAAAGGAAAAGGTAAGTCGAAAGGGAAAGGGAAAGTAATGGAGGCAGTAGGGTTGGCTGAAAAAGGCCTGCTGGGCCCGAAGCCCAAATCGGGGGAGGCATCTACTAGCGGGCCTAGCAATGGGTCCAGTAAAGCTAGCTTTCAGACTTCCCAAACTTTGAATCCCCAGCAGTCTGCGAGGGCTTCGAGTGGGCTGACTGGGAAGGTAACGGGCTTGGCTTATCCATCCGGGCCAGCGACCCAGACCATCGATGGGGAGAACGGAACCAAAATCCGGATTGTCGAGACGCAACCGTATCAGCCGCCTGCTCCTCGCGTGGTCGACTCGGACACTCCGTCGGCGGTCTCCAGGATGAAATCATAGAAGGAGGGGCGTGGCGGTGGAACGAAGAAAACGGCGATTCCTAGGAAAGGTACCCCGATGCGCCACAACCCGCTGAAGCCGCTGCAAATCTGGTCCCTGGTGAAAGAGAAGAAGGGTCGAAATAAGGAGAAGAGAGTCTCTCTAACCCTGCAACAAATCAAGGAATGGACGGATGCGGCCAAGCCGAAGGCAGTGGTAGACTCCTAGCCGATGAATAAGGAAGCTATGGAGAGGATGGTGGCGGTTTCGAGCGGGCTAGTGAGCAGTCCGAACGCCCCTGCCCTTTAAGTCCTGGTGTGCTCTCTCCTTAGCGGCCTCTGTTTCGTTTCGTCCCTTTCCTTTAGTTATAATGTCTGCCAATTTTAAGTCTTATTTCAAAAATTTTGCCTGGAATGTTGGGGGGGGGGGGGGGCTGGTAGCAATGCTTTTGCTCGCTCTTTGAAGCTTGCAATTCAGCTCCACAGACATGATTTCGTTATTCTTATTGAACCGCAGATTAGTGGTGTGAATGCTAACAGAGTTTGTGATAGGCTGGGGTACCCAGATGTCATCCGGGTTGAGGCGAACGACAGAAGTGGTGGTATTTGGTTCTTCTGGAATGCCAATCAGTACGACATTGCTATCGTTTCTACGGGTTTCCAGCACCTGACCCTCTCGATCTCTAAGGGTAATAGTCGCCGTTGGATGCTTACTGCAGTGTACGCCTCACCCCGGCAGCAGCTCCAGCAACTCCTTTGGAACTACCTTATAGAGCATAGTAAAACTATGGACTGCCCCTGCCTCCTATCCGGTGATTTCAATGCTATTCTGTCTCCGCTGGAAACTACATGTCAAGCGACTCCAAGAGTGTTGCGGCGCTGCAGAAGATTCAATGGTTGGCTAAATGAAGCGGAGTTAGTTGACCTGGGGTAGTCAGGGCCGAAGCATACTTGGTGCATGGGTGACCAGGCGCAGTCCTTCAAAGCTAGCAGATTGGATAGGAGTCTTTGTAACATCGAGTGGAATGAATCCTTCCCGAACACGACGGTGATGCACTTGGCGAGGCTGAGCTCAGATCACAATCCAATTCTGACGACGGTGCCGAGTCAGGGAGTTACCCACTCTTCCCCAAGACGCTTCAGATTTGAAGCTGCTTGGATTACTCACCCTGATTTCCAAAAAAATTTAAATGAGAAGTGGTGTGGGCAGAGTAATAACTTTCATTTGGCTTTGCAGGAACTTTCGGACAGCTTGAATTCGTGGAGCAAACAGGTGTTTGGCAACGTTTTTCAACGCAAGAAACGTTTGGTGGCAAGAATCGAAGGAATTGAGAGGAAGCTAGCCACCTCCTTCCATCCTGGACTGGCCAAACTCAATACCAAGCTAGAGGCAGAGCTAGACAGGACCCTTGAGCAGGAGGAGTTGTACAGGTACCAAAGGGCTCGAGAAAACTGGGTGAAGTTTGGAGAAAGAAACACAGCTTACTTCCACCAAATCGCCAACATTCGTCGTCGGCTGAATAAGATAGAGTGCCTGAAAAAGGATAATGGGGAATGGGTGCAGGATAGACAGGAGCTTGCTCAGCTTGTTTTTTATTTTTTCTCTAACCTGTACTTGCAGGAGGCGTCTCCTTACACTGATTTCATGCCCAAGGGAGCTTTTCCTCGGCTGAGTCAGGATGATTGGATGTGCTTACTGCGCCCCTTTTCGATCATGGACATTCACCAGGCCATTTTTGATATGAAACCTTTGCAGGCCCTTGGTCCGGATGGCTTTCAAGCAGCTTTTTATCAACAGGAGTGGCGGATTGTTGGGAAGGCTCTCACGGATATGGCGTTATCCTTTTTCGAGAACGGAACCTTGCCTGCATCTATCTCGGAGTCCACTGTTGTGCCAATTCCTAAAGTGGAGAAACCAGAGTTTGTCCACCAACTCCGACCCATTTCTTTGAATAATGTGAGCTTGAAGGCCATAACTAAAGCCATGACGAGCAGGCTGAAAATGGTCATGAAGAAGCTTGTTTCTCCTCGCCAAAGTAGCTTCATTCCGGGGCGGCAAACGGCGGATAATATATTCGTCGTTCAAGAAGTGATGCACTCTTTAAAGAAGAAAAGAGAGAAAAAGGGTGGTATGGTGATCAAGATTGACTTGGAGAAAGCCTATGACAGGCTACGGTGGGACTTCCTGAGAGATACTCTGATCGAAGTGGGCCTTCGTAGCTCATGGATTCGATGCATCATGTTCTGTGTTTAGCAGAATCGTATGAGGATTCTTTGGGATGGTGAACTCACCCAACCCATCACACCCACAAGGGGAGTCAGACAGGGAGATCCTCTTTCCCCATATCTTTTTGTCTTTCTCATAGGATAGATGAGGCCGTCTGTGCTAAGCTATGGAAACCCCTAAGCATAGCGCAGGGCGGGCCGGCTCTCACTCACCTTTTCTTTGCCGATGATTTAATTCTGTTTGCAGGTGCAGAAGGGGCGCAGGTCAGGATCATCCGCCAGTGTCTTGACGAGTTCTATGAGAGCTCAGGGCAGAAAGTGAACTACTCCAAGTCCATGATGTACATCTCGCCCAATATCTGCCCGCTGCGCGCACAGAGATTGAGTGACAGGGCTGCCATTCCCTTGACCAAGGTGTTGGGTCGGTACTTGGGGGTTCAAACCATCCATGGCCGGGTCACCCGGATCAGATACCAGGAGTTGATTCTGAAGATTCAAAGGAAGTTGGCCCCTCGGAAGGCTAAGAGGCTATCCTTTGCTGCGAGTCTTACAGTTGCTAGATCTGTATCCTTGGCTATCCCTACATACACTATGCAAACTGAAATGATTCCTGTTAATGTTTGCAACACTATCGACAGGATTAACAGGGACTTCATTTGGGGCAAGGATGAGAACCAGGGGAAGATGCACCTGGTGGCCTGAGAGAAATTAGCTGAGCCGAGAACGCAAGGGGGAGGAGGCCTCCGGGCGCTCCGACAGGCCAACCTTGCTCTTTTAGCTAAAGGAGGATGGCGTATTCTGAAAGAAAAAGACACTCTCTAGACTCAAGTCATGAGGGCTAAGTATGGAGGAAAGAGAAAAGATATGAACATCTTCCGGCCTTGTCAGGGAAGTTCTTTTGCTTGGTCGAGTATAAACAAAGCAGCCAGCCTCTTGAAAAAAGGGTGTGCTTGGAACATTCACAATGGGAAAAGCACTAATTTTTGGCTGGATAATTGGATTCTGCAGGAACCACTCATTGAGGCTGCAAGTCAACCAATTCCTGAGGAGGAGCGAGTTCAGACGGTGGCCTCCTATATGGATGTGAACGGTCGGTGGGATATCACTCACCTCTCCCAATGGCTCTCGACGGATATTATTCAGAAGATCACTGCTGTGATGGTTGATCCTCTTTCTCCGGATGCGGACCAAATCTTCTGGAAGGCCTCGGCGAATGGTCGCTTGACAACTAAGACTACTTACCAGCTGAGTCAGCCTGGGCGAGTAGAGCCGAATGACCGGATCTGGAAGGCCATTTGGAAGCTCCCAACTCCAGAATGGGTCAGATGTTTTGCCTGGCTAGTTTTTCTTGGTCGGATTGCTACCAATGTGCTTCGGTTTTGCAGGAAATGCAGTGACTCGCCGGATTGCGACAGGTGTGAGGACACTCCCGAAACGGTCCCGACTGACTGACAGACGGAGTTCTTTCACAGAGGTCAAGAGGACTGGCTCCGCAGCAATCTCAGTAACGAGGACGTGATGGATTCTGGTTTGACTTGGAATGAGTTTTTCAGTATTGCTATCTGGCTGATCTGGAGGAACAGGTGTACGGTGTGTTTCAAGGGGGTTAGCAAGGCCTTCACGGCGCCTACTCTAGCTCACTCGATTCAGCACAAGGCCCTTCTTTGGCACCAGGCGTGGGAGGCTCCCTCCTTAAAACCAGGAAGGTCAATCTTACAGGTGGATAGGACTACAGAGCAGATCAGCTGGCAACCCCCTAGCGCAGGGTGGCGTAAGCTAAACATTGACGGAGCCTCTGCAGGAAACCCAGGGACGGCGGGTGTTGGTGGGGTGATCAGGGATGAGCAAGGGAGGTGGATTGCTGGTTTGTGGCTAAGATTGGCGAAGCGACTGCTGCTTTAGCAGAGCTCTGGCCTTTCTACCATGGTTTGGACCTGGTTTGGAAAGTTGGATGCGATAGCCTGGTGGTTGAGTCCGACTCTCAGCTAGCAATCCAATTGATAAACAACCGGCGGGACCCAGTGCATCCGTATGCCTCGTTGCTTGATGCTATCAGGAGGAAGTTGGCGCAGAGTTGGCTGGTTAGGGTAGTTCATACGTATCGAGAAGGGAATAGAGTCGCGGACTGGCTCTCGAAGCACAGTCTCGTCTATCCCTACGGTACGCATGAACTCTCTAATCCGCCGAGAGAGCTGAGTCAGATCCTTAATGATGATGTTATGGGCGTCTCCTTTGAGCGCCATGTGAGAACGCCTGTTGCTCTGTAATCTTTCCTTCTTGTCTTTCTTGGCCTTGGCCTCCCTTATTGCAAAAAAAAAAAATATATATATATATATATATTTTTTGCATGAATCGCTTATGGTACTGCAAAAATTAACCAATAGAAAAATTAAACCGGGAGATGGTGAGAATCAGTACATTCTTCTCCGAAACCAAATAAAGGATGAAAGGAGAAAACTCCGCCCTCAATTTAAGAACCATCCCTGCCCCAGTATCTGCAAATGAAATGCCAAAACGATTCTTAAAACCTACACTCAGAGATTAATTTGTGTTTGTTCACTGCTTTCCCTCTTCAATCTCTTTCTGGTACAACAAGCTCTCTTCATATCTTGGGACGATTGAGCAACAACAGTTGCATAAGACCTGAGTTTCTCGAGAATCCTCCTTTCGCATACGCGCAACACAAGAGAATAGTAGGCTTTTCCTTCTTTCACACTACATCTCTGGAGAGCCTCAATGTCGTCTTTCATCGACTTATTATATAAACTATCCCTCTTATCAGCTAGCCACAAAAGAGCCTCACAAACACTTTCAGTCAATAGCAGATCACGACTGATTTCTGACCTTTTGTCCTGTGTGATACTGCATTTCTCCGACAAATACATGCTAATGGGATCTTCTTTGCTAGTTGCAGTAGTTGACACTAGGATATCCAATCTAAGGTAAGCTTCCTCTGGTAATAGCATTATGTATAACAATACCAACAACTCAATCTGTGGTTCACCATCGTTGGAGACCTCAAAGTATTCAGACTCCCCACTGACACACCCCGAGTAATCTAGGTTTCTCCACAGGGACAGCCTTGCTCTACTATACCGGCCAGTGAATAATGATGTACTCCATTGTAGTACCAACTCCAAATCAATGTTGACAATATCGAATTGATTGTCTGGCTCTGCAAATCCATACCTATGCAGCAATGCCGCATTGCCCACCAACCCATATGTATTGAAGATCTGGCAGAGTAAACACCAACAACAATTGAGCACAGTGATGAGCCAAGTATTCTGCTCCAAAATAATGGGACTGCCTCAAGACAGAAAGTAAATAAGTAAATCGATATTGTGAAAAGAACCTCAGCTCCAAGCTGAACATCTTTCACCATGATCATCTCCAACACCATGGGATCATCCAGACTTATCGCAGAGCCTTCCAGCTCACTTGAAGGTTCTTCGTCAACCTTATTTTCATTGAGCAAATCACTTATGCTGCTATCCTCCTCCTCCTCCTCCTCCTCCTCCGCATCATCATCATCATCATCATCATCATCAGAATGTGATGATGGTACAGAGGTGAAGTGCACATCCTCAGCACCAGTCTTGTGATTAAATCTACATATCATATTTGCTTGATAACTGTTAGTACAGAATCAGTACAAAACTCAGCTCATTAACTAACTCGTCAAGCTACATGAAACTAACAAAAAGCGAATTAGTATTAGTACACCGATGACTTTCAAGACACCTCAACCACAAAATTATTGAGGAGAGTGCAGTATGAGTGCTTACAAATCTGCCAAAGGAACCATCCCGTGTCCATGGTAATCGTCTATCTCAAAAGCTCTGGACGACACAAGGCTCTTGGCAGCAAAATATTGCTCAACGCCAAAACATTTTGCGTTGACATTTGAAGGCAGTTGATGAACTAGAGGCAAGATGTTCTCCTTCCAGTCCTCAAGAACAAGACCCTTGTCTTCTTTAACGGTCTGCCTACAGAATATGCAGAAGAAGCCATCACCAAAGCCCTTTTTCATAATCACCAAAAGCAAATATATTTTTGTTTTTAGCTAAGAAAGCAACTTTGCTTCCAATTCCCAAAACACAGACCCTTTCTAGTTGATAATGGCTAACAGCAGGCCATAGGGGAAAAGAAGCAGCAAACCAGACAAGAAATCGGATTGGCATTGCCATCTGAAGCAATCACAGAACATAATGAGAAGCTTTGGTAGTTCTTAACCTAGGGACAATTTCATCTCCTGAATGTAAGAAAAAAGAAAATCACAGTAGTTTCACCTTATGAAGCTCGGTACCCTGGAGGAGCCGATCGACTTCGTCCAGTGTCCATAGCAAAGGGATGCACTCGCTCTCCGGCAACAGCTGAAGGTACCCAGCCCAGGGAGAGGATTCCCCCAATCCCTTCTCATACATCAGCGCCACAGAAAGCCCCAAAAACCCTCCTAAATCCGCCGACTCAATCAACTCGGAAGCTCCGCTGTTCTTGACGGTGAGGCACGCCGCCTTCGGTATCGCCGCCACCGCCTCACCTTCCCTCAAGTCCCGCACAGCCTTCACCGAGACGCCTCCGCCGCCACCCTCCGAACGATCGACGAACTCCAACCCGTCGGTCCACTGGAACCCCTGCGACTTCATCCACCGCACAAACGCCCTCAACCGACGGCTCATTCTCCGACCACCGGCAGTGAACCTCCGACAAAATGGTGGAAAGGCTGGATGGACAGTGGAGGACCGCAGGGCGCCAGGGCTAGAAAGGCGAACGCTCTTCTCGCCTCTCGGCGGGGTTTTTCTATTGGGTTTGGGCCCTGCGTTTTAAGTAGGCCAAATTTGGGCTAGCTAGAGTCGTTACTAGTCCAGTGTGAGAAGAGGCCCATGAATTTAAAAATGGCCCCGATTGCCGAATTTTGCGAGAAGTTACTTACAGCCCGGCGGTCGCGGCTGGTTTATAATTTGGCGTACAGAGGGAGAGGGAGAAGGAGATGGAGAGAGGGGAGGCTTTTGGTCGGGAAAGTGAGTGAAGGAAGAACCGTAGGAAACAGAAAGAGAGAAGAGGCAAGAAATTTTTTCCTTCTCCATCCTCTGTTTGGTTTCTCTCTACCTTCTTTGTGTTCTTGCCTAATGCTTGTCAATGGAATAAACTTGCTTGTATCCGTCTGTGGAATGCAAATTTGGATGCAATTCCAATTTTGTGAAAGCAGGTTTTATTTTGTCATTTTCGTTCTGCTGCCTGCTTTCCTTCCTCGTGCCAAATTTATTTGTAGTCTTCATCGTGAGTTTTTCCAATCTGCTTTCCCTTCTTCCAATCTTTACGGTATCCAGGCTCTGCTCAAATTCATTTGTGTGTGATTCTAATTGGGTTTTGGAAGTTACTTGCGAAATTCCCCGAGTGTTAAGTCTCCCGTCGCTGCTTGAGATTCATTGTTCTCTGCACTCCTATGTTGAACTTACAGCAGTGGATTGAATTGAAGTAGTCGTTGATGCATTGTTTTCGTTATTCCTGTTTTCTGCTTCTTCTTATTGCTTAAGCGTGAGATTTATCATGTATCAACTTCTGGTTTTGCAGGTGAGGTTCTTGGCGGATACTTCAGCTTTTGAAGAAGATACTCGTTCATCGTTGATTATTTTCTGTATGGCTGCTTGTTAATTCTTCTGCTATTTGGTTTCCCTCGACATTCCTTATGAGTGGTCCTCCTAAAAGATCTCATGAAGAGGGTGGTCATTCCTCTACCCCGAAATACCCAAATGAAGATACGAGCACATACCCCAAAATTGCACCTGGCGGGGTTTCTAGCGAGTACCATTCTCCATATGACATGAGCCAGGATGCTCGTGCAGCAAAGCTTTCTCGCGATGCAGATAGAAAATCCCCCCTTCATTCACTGTACAGAATGTCATCTGCTTCGAATGATTCTTATATGGATACACATCCTGTCACTTCTGATAGCCGGCTGGAACTAAGAGATCCGAAAGACGTCAGAGAGCATCGAATTGACAACAGAGATCAAAGAACTGAAGCAAGAGAGATTTATAGTGATCCTAAGAGGGATACTCAAAGTGTTAAACCTGATAAGGATACCAGGTTGGAGAGTAGAGGAGATGATAATAAGGAGACAAAGCATGAAAGGGAGGCCATTAACGATGCAAAGCACAACGAAGTGAAGTTGGAAAAGGATGCTTTGATTTCAGCGAGCAGTCAAATGACATGGAAAGAACCTAAAGAATATCATAGAGGAAAGAGATACTCCGAATCTCCTAACACTCATGCTGATCCTTGGCACACGTCGCATAGCAATCCCCAAGGCCAGCCTGAGATTAGCAAGGAAGGACAACCTTTTGAAGACAGGGACCATGGAGAGACATGTGAAACGGTTGGCGAAAATAAAGTTGACTCAAAAAATGAGGATAGATGCAAAGACAAGGATAGGAAAAGGAAAGATCTGAAGTATCGGGAGTGGGGCGAGAAAGAAAGAAATGATCGTAGGGCCAACTTCCAGATGGGTAACAGCAGCGGTGATGTAAAAGATTCAGCAAGAGAGGAACGAGAACTGGATGGGTGGGAGAGGGAAAGGAAGGATCTTCCAAAGGACAGGGAAAAGCCAAAGGATAATACCAAACGAGAATCATGGAATGGTGTAGACAAAGAAAGTTCCCACAATGAGAAAGACATGGGCGATGCGTCTGCCAGAGTACCCGAGCCTGAAAATCCAGCTTTGGAACAGAAAAAATCCAAAGACTTTGATGCCTGGAAAAATATCGACAGAGAAAATAGAGAAAGGAGAAAAGAGAAAGATGCTGTTATTGACGGAGATAGACCAGAGAAGCGCATCAGGTTGGCTGATAAAGAGTGTGATGATGGATTGCCAGATGGTGAAGGAGGTACAGAAAGGGATCGTGATGCTTTTAACTACGGGGTCCAGCAACGTAAGAGGATGCTGCGGTCAAGGGGCAGCCTTCAGGTCTCAAATCGCGAGCGCTTGAAGCCACGTGCTCAGGAAAATGAAGGGTTTGTCTTATCTCTATACTGTCTGATGATTTACTTGCCAGCTAAGTTAGCTTGATTACATGTTTTTTATTTGAGATGGGTGGTGTATGTTTGGAAGTGTCAATTTTTACTTGAATTGCTTTATGTTTGGGACATATAAAGAGTCTTGTAAGTTGAGTTTTTTGTAAATATTAAGGGATCTGACTATGCATTGGTTGAACTTGGTTCTGGTGATGACTATTATGGGAAATTATTTTCATTGTGAAGTGGATTTTTGGCTTTTAAAAATTGTTGGCCAATTAATGGTAGTTCAAAAAATTTAGATTGAAGACCTGTGTTTGTTTACGCTCTTTTTCTAACTTAAATTTTAGGAACCAAAACTCAATCAACAAGCAAACCCAACATTATCGTACTCTTTTCTGTGGTTTGACAGTAGGAAGACCTTTGTTTTTCTGACCTTCTTTCTCTTTGTTTTTGCAGAACCCAAGGTATGCGCTTATATTTGCCTCAAATCATTCTAGGACTACGTTTCCTGCCTGTCATGCTCTGAAAGGGAGTTTGTACAGCCACTATCTGTTGCGTTTTGGAGTTACCAATGCATAAAATTCATCATTCTTTTCTGTGTAACAAGTGCTGAAAATGGATTTTCTAATCGCAAAGGCATTTCCTGTGCTACTCATCTTGTCATGAGTAGGAGTCCCACAATCAGAATATAAGGATCTCCAGCAGTTAGAGTTTCACTGGCTGAGACCTGTAATTCTTACAATGTTCTAAAAATTTAATTTGTCATAGTTGTTTGGCAGGAATTTAGTGTGAATTCTATGACAAGAGACCTACCAGTCAGGCGGTCTTTCAAATGTAGGTTCCAACTTAAAATTAATGGCATGCTTCTGATCTGAACACTAAGAGGAATTGTAACAGCCAAGAGGTACTATAACCAATAGCAACTTCTGTTGAGACTGGCTGCTAATGAGGGCGAATTAGCTGGACTGTCAGCCTAATCATACCATATCCAAATATTGGTACTTTTGATTCTTTCTGCTTGATGGTTGTGTTTGACTTTCTGTGACCAATATCCTCTCTAACATCCCATGGTGGTGGAGAAATTTATTCTGTTCTTTGTCCTTTAGGTGAAATTCCACCTTTTCTCCTTTGATTGTAATTTTGCCGGTTTCAGCTGTATTATTAGTGTGACAAATATGTGGCATGTTCTTTCATATAAGTGTTTTAACAATAACATTAGGTTCAATGACGGGCAGATCATGGAATGTTAAATAATTTATAAAGATTGTTTCCTGCATCAATAACCTTCAGCATTGCTGATGATTCAGGGAAATCTGAGGTATCCTCTGTTGTATACAAAGTAGGGGAATGCATGCAGGATCTGATAAAGATGTGGAAAGACTATGAATCAATGGAATCTGAAAAAAATGGTGATAACGCTCAGAACAGCCCCACTCTTGAAATTCGGATACCAGCAGAGAACGTCACAGCTACAAATCGCCAAGTAAGCGTGGTGCTTAGTCTTCTTATCTCTGACTACCAGCACTGTTGAATATGTTGATTTTCACTGAAGTTCTTCACCTATTGTTTGTACTCAAGTTTATAATTGTGGAATTATTTTTGTACGTACATTTCCCAAGACACCAGGCTTTCAATGGGAATGTCAACTTTAGGTGTATGGGATTGTCTTATAGGTTTGTCTATACTGCTATACTGTAAAGTGAGAACTTACTTTTGACTCAGGGGCTTAAGCTATACATGTAATGTATCAAATTATCAAACTAACTTAATCGTGAACCAAGTTCTGCAGTGGGTGTTGTAAAAATGAAAAAAGGTCAAAATAAATGAAGTTTTTGTGGCTTTTCATGAACAGGTCAGAGGTGGTCAACTTTGGGGGACAGATATATACACGGATGACTCAGATCTTGTTGCTGGTGAGTTCTAGCACAAGTTTTATTGGTTCTATTTTACTGGAGTTGTCGGCGTGGAATCCAGTCGTAGTTGGTATATAAACTGATATTGGTTTTTAATCTTATTGAGTTCTTATGCATACGGGATACTGCCGGCCCACTGCTTCTCCTCCTCCACCTGCTATCCAAGACTTGCGTGCCACCATAAGGGTTTTGCCTCCACAAGACAGTAAGCACTCTTTATAGTTTCCATGTTTATGTTGGCTTTTTTAGCATCCCAAGGTGGCACGCTATTTACACCCTTCTTATTTCGTGATGGAATCAATATATGTGCTCCCCAACTCATGACCACATTATCTGCACTACCAGTCTAGTTCTGGTCAAATAATATATATTCTTCCTTGGAATTAACTGAAAGCTTTTTTTTTTTTTTCCTTTTCAAAATGACCTTGCCATGGTGTAGTCAACTCTAGGCGAAACATGAAATGGAGGTAGTAGTTACATAAATTTCAACAAGACAACAAGGGACTCCATGGTAGATCACTTCTAGAGGCTCTTTATGTGCCAGAGGTTGAGTATGGATGAAGACTTTAAATCTTGGATATCAGTGGAGCCTCGAGAGAAAATTTTAGATGCCCTAACATTCTCAGAGGAACACAAGTGATTATGCATCGTAGATAGCTAATATCTCGATTCCTTGTTTAGATAATGTCCAGTGGTCACTGTCTCTAATCTGCTTGTGTAATGACCATCTTAAAGAAGTCAGATGCATATCCTGGGATTGGCAGGTGAATTATTTTCTTGGATAATTTTCAAACCGAAGCATTGTTATGTTTCCAATGTCTTCCCATAAAAAAAAGTCTTTTCTTGGGCAAGATCCTTTGTTTCTGTATATGGAAGACAGGTCTACTTTTGGTAGGTTAACCATGGTTCATTCCCACATAACACAGTTAACTGCAGCAGAATGTGGGATGTTTGAGATTGAAATGGAGTTTTTCCCACTATGAACAGTATTAGCTTATTTATATTCTACATTTCACCCATATGACAAATGAGAAACCTTAGTGAAATATGTCATTTTATTTTGCTTCCGCTATGAACAGTATTGGCTTATTGATATGCTACATTGCACCCATATGACAGACGAGAAACCTTAGTGAAATATGTCATTCTGTTTCGCTTCATTTTGCTTTTTAGCTGGTTTTGACTGCTTGTCTAATGATGTGCCTTACATGTTAGGTTATACTTCAATGCTGAGAAATAATGTCCGCTCCCGTGCCTGGGGAGCTGGAATTGGTTGTAGCTACCGTGTGGAGCGCTGTTGCATTGTGAAGGTTTGCACACATCTTCCACTCTATTTAAGTTTCAGGTGTTTCTGACCAATTTTTTCCATTTCACCTTCATCAGCACAAAAGTTTTGCTTGCAGTCATGCTGTTCTTTCTAGTGTCATCGTTTCTTTCATTTTCTACCTATGGCTTCCAGTCATACCTTGCCTTGCATTCCAATTTCCAAGACTGCACTCCCCAACATATATGTTTGGGCTAAGCATACTGCATCCTGGATAGTTTGGCAAACTCTATCGAGCTGTACTTTATGTGTACTTCTTACCTTTCTGTCTTTGATCCCAGAAAGGAGGAGGAACCATCGATCTTGAACCTTGTCTGTCACATACGTCTGCTGTTGAGCCTACTCTTGCCCCCGTTGCTGTTGAGCGGACAATGACCACAAGAGCTGCAGCTTCAGTATGACCTTATCCATTTTTCAAAAACCTTTAGTATTTTCAATTCATATTTGTAATATTTACTCAAAACTGAATCAGAGAATAATGGAGTTGCTGAAAGACAGGCATTTTGTTAAAAATCTATGAATACTTTTCTGGAAGGCCTAGTAGTTAGTGCCATTAAAATTTCATAGGGAACTGATACATCTGTGACCATGACGATTTTTTTTTTTTTTTTTTTTTGAGGGACCATGACGAATTTAGGTGTACTTTATTTGAAAATTTGAACCCTGAGACTGACTAGTAGCAGTGAGACATTAAATGCATTGGGTTCAAACCTTGAGACTAACATCATTGATTGTGCTCTTTGTAGCTTATGTTCTTATGTTCTTATTTTCAGAATGCATTACGGCAACAAAGATTTGTCCGTGAAGTTACAATACAGTACAACCTTTGCAATGAGCCCTGGTACTTGTTCTAATCTCTTGAATTTGATATTTTATCCTTTTCCATGCACCATCTGGAACCCATTCTTCTCGTTTATCTGTTTTCTTTGATTATCTTTTTTAATTTCAATGCATTCTAAGATAATATGGGCACTTGAAGAATCACACATGGTCCGATCATCATTTCATCGCCACTGATCTGAATTGAGAAAAACGCATGGAGTTTTCGCTGATTTTGTTTGCCTGCTAAAATGTTTCATGTTCTCTTGTACGTTTGACATTAATTTCCTACTATCTGAACCAAAGAAATGGCATTTGGACCGGAATATTGTTTCACAGGATAAAGTACAGCATCAGTGTTGTTGCTGACAAGGGCCTAAAAAAGCCGCTTTATACTTCTGCACGCTTGAAGAAAGGAGAAGTTCTGTATCTGGAAACCCACTCTTGCAGGTAGTAGGATTTGATGTTCAAATGTTACATTTGCAACTGTAATTTGGAGTTTTGTTGTGTTCCAGTCCTTTGCTATCAGCGATTTCTTGGTTCTACTCTCTCATTATCAATATAAGCCTTCATTGAATCCGGTTGTGTCAAATGAATGCCTCGGGATAACCTAAACTTCTTTCTCATTGTTATCTGCTTGTTTCTCTTAGATCATATGTTTTCAGCCAACCGGAAATTAACTTAGAAACTGCTTCTGGATGTGAAATCCTATTTGTCCCTCAGACTAACATCGAACAAATTTTATTACATCCTATATGCATAGGTATGAGCTGTGTTTTACCGGAGAGAAAATGGTTAGGTCTTCTCAGCCCCAACAGCAAGAAGATGCAGAAAAATCACATAGTCATCCTCCTCCACATTCATCCAACGGTGACAGTTCGGATAGCATTCTGATCGATGCGTTCCGGTGGTCCCACTGTAAGAAGCCCCTGCCACAGAAGTTGATGCGGTCTGTTGGGATCCCACTTCCTCCAGAACATGTCGAGGTAAGCGACATCCTTGATTGTTTTGCGACGCCATCGTATTGTCAATTTGTGTCTGTTGTCATGTACCCTGAATTGAGGCTAATATTGAGCTGTTGTTTTGGAACCCGGCCTCGCAGGTATTAGAGGAGAACTTGGAGTGGGAAGATGTGCAGTGGTCGCAGACAGGGGTGTTCATAGCTGGAAAAGAGTACACACTAGCAAGGGTTCATTTTCTGTCCCCCTAATTTGACGACTCCTGATGTCTTGTTTGTGTATGTAAAATAGAGATAAAACACAACGAAAGAGTGTATTATTTGTTGGCTACGGTTGAAGATCAATACGTACTGCTCTCTTTAAACGCACGAATCTTGTTAATTGTTGAATTATCACCACGTTTTAGTGTCCTTGTGTATGGATTCTGTTTTCGACTCTGCGACAAGATTCAATGATGGAAGATATCAAGAATGCGACTTTCAGTTTATCTTATTCTTACCAAACTAATCATTATTTTGTTTATCGTATGTTTTTTTACTTTGCTCATTGAGTCATTGCGGAGAATGTATTTTTATAATAGAACTCATTAGGATGGAAAGTAACAAGTTGGAGAGATGGTGTTTGTAGGAAAAGAAAAGCAAAATCAAAGAATTTGACCATAACTATTACCTTTGTAATAATAATAGTCAAATTTTCACAAATACACAAAATAGTCAATTTCTTCCAAAACTTTAACGATGTGATTTCAAATGCTGATTGGATTAACAATTTTGTCGACTTGGCGATACTTCCCCTGCAACATTGCCCTTCTGAATTTAATTCTACCCTTCTCAGTCTTCCCACCTTCAACTCCTCCTCTTCTGACCACTACGAACCCTCCATCCACTCTCGATTGACGAACCCACACCGAGAAACCCCTATTCCCGCTCTAGATCTTCTTCCTGACATCCATCCCACACCATTGCCTTCATTTCTCAGAGAAGAAGAAGGGCGGCGGTGAGGAAGGGACGGCAGAAGAAGAAATAAATAAAATTAAGAAAATCTATTTTTGCTTCTTTTCTAATTTTAAATTTAATTATTTTTACAATTAGCAATGATGTGGCATGATGTAATGATTTGGCGATGATGTGGAAAATGGTGTGGTGTCCAAGTTAACATGATGTTTCCATTTCTAACGGTGTAACTGACACCGTTAATATTTCTAACGAAAATGATTATGTTTGTCAAACGAAATCACAAAACTGGCTATTATAGTGTATTTCTCAGAATTTGACTATTATTGTCACAAAGTGCAAACTTGTGGCCATGGAGATGTATTTTGTCTAAATTTTAATTCACGTACACAATTATAATTTATTATATGGATGGAGGATTGGAGGTAGTGGTTCGGTGGAACAATTGTTGGTTAGTGTTCTATCTGACGTTAATTGTGACTCAGAGTCCCATGATATATGATATGACAATGATCCTCACATATGACTCGAAGAATTCACAATTCTACAATTCTGAAATAAAAAAAGAATAGAAGAAATTCTGTTTTCATACAATATTTTAATTGACTTTTATATTATGAAAAATCCCGAACTGATGTAAAGAATATTTAGAAAGTGGATGTATGAAAATACGAAATTCACACTCATACTACTCTTTCGATACATAATTTAATATATAAAACGAAACCACAAAAAAATTCTATCGGACTCAAAATGTCATGCTATTATTACTTAATATTAATATTGCATACGACGAAGGCATAATTTTCTTTGGTATCTTTTCATTAATTCCTCCTAGATTGTATTGATGTATCCTTAAGATTTCATTGCAATTGAAATTTGGATATTTTGTCTCATAGTAGCCTGCTCTAGTCCTCTTATGAAACTCTCGTTACGGGGTTAGCCATACACCTACATGAATTTAGAAACTCACATGGTATCACCAAATGATGCTAGTCTTGGATAATAATTTCAATATTTCCATGCATAACCACACACAAAAAAAAGGAAAAGATTCTTGGATCCCAGAAGTGCATGATAAATACAACCCAACCCCAATACTGAAGAAGATGTCATTCGTTTGATGAGAAATAAAAAGGAATATCGAAAATTTGAGTAGTTGAAGCTGAAGCAGCTACTTTCGAAGTAACGGAAAGAAAAGCAATGACTAGAGTGGGAGAGTCGGAGTCAAAAAGAGGATCTATTACCCACTACATTAAAAAAATTCCTTTAATGAAAGCTGGAAATCCATTGCAAAATAAAAAAGATGTATGTCGGATGAAAGGGTGGTTGTTGTCGTTTGCTCCAATAATGAATCATTGGTATTGGCTTATTAAAATAGATAGACCCTTCTCTTTGTCTCGGGTCGATCGGAGAAAATTGAGTTATTTGGATCCGGGGGGATTGACGGACGAACTGCCAATTTTCACATATGAGATATCTACCCTAGTCACTATAGAGCATTTGCCCAATTGACACATTTGCCCAATTGACATATCTGAAGGAATCAATGTTGGACTTATTGGATCCTTATCAATTCATGCCAAGATTAATCCTTGGGGTAATTATGAGGAATGTATAAACCAATGTTTCCATAGATTTGATCGTGGGGGTGGGGGTCATTTATGGCATGCGGGAAGAGCACGAGCAGCCGCAACAGGATTTGAAAAAGGAATTGATCGAGATTTTGAACCTCTTATTTTCATGATTCCTCTTAACTAACTGAGTGGAGATTGAATTTCAACGAGCATGTTGTATTTCATAAAAATTCGGGGGGCAATATAATCCCTACACAAAGGCCACCCTATCCATCTTTCCGGCATTAAGATACGTTTCAGACGTGGATGCTTATCATAAGCAATTCTCAACATATCATAATATTCAATTTCTTGAAAATCAGTGTTTCCAAGCCCAGAAAAAATATGGAATTCTAGGCTTCTTCCAACTACTTTATCGCCAACTTTGATATCACATCTTTGTAAGTATATATACACAAGTCATTTTTGGATTTATAGCTGGAACCCCTCGCTTCTCGATCCGTCTCACATCAATAACTCCATCCCTACCACGTATAGGTAGTTTAGGCAGGTTTCCTTTGAAGTAGATACTTGAATTCCAAGGATAGCTCGTAATAATATATCTCCCAAGGCATACAATGATTCTTTCACGATTAGAAGCGTTAATTTACCTACTAAAATATCACATGAACTCCATTATTTTCTAATAATTGTTGTACTTCACAAGTCTCATTAATTTCTTGATCGACAGGGTCTTGGCCCTTAACTATGACGATGATCATTCTCTATATGATACTAAATGGAATAATTACATCAATAGTTGCATTGACAATTATCTTCGCTAATCCTTAACTTTTCGAGGATTTTTCATCAATGTTTGTGAATGACCGATTTTTCTCAATCTTTTTTGGCCTCTTGGTTTCGTAGGAACAAGTCAGCAAGATTGAGAAATAGAGCCATCTGATTTGATCGTTCTCAATAGCCATGAGATTAACATCTTAGGGTGTTCCTTTTGTCGACAGATATCATTCGAAAAGGGTAAAGCCACCGGTTGCAACAGTTACAGCTGTAGTGGCTGGTTTAGTTGCTGTATGATATAGGTATCTGGGGATAGCGAATGGTTACATTTATTTGGAAGAGAGTTCCACTATTGCAACTTTAAAAGAAACTTTTGAAGAAGTTATAAATACAAATATGCGAGAAATGAAAAATCTATTCACGACTCAGAAGTACTGGATTCTCTTTCGAATAGGCCATGAACGAAGAAGTAAGGCTAGAATGCCAACAAATCTCTGTGAATGAGTAAGTCGCCAATCCCTAAAAATGAACTATGTAATGTACTTTATGTGTCCAGAAAGAGGAGGCCTCCAGAAGTCAAAATTTTGCTAGATAGGGATCCCGTCAAAACTTCTTTTGGGGAATGGGCAAGACCTGGTCATTTCTCAAAAATAATAGTTAAAGGACCTTATACTACTACTTGGATATGAAATCTACATGATGATGCTCACAATTTTGATAGCCATACCAATGTATTGGAGGAGATTTCTCGAAAAGTAATTATGTTCTTGGGAGTCCCTGACAAGAAATCAGATTGGCATTGTCATCAGAAGCAATCACAGAACATAATGTGATAATGCGAAGCTTTGGTAGTTCGGACAATTTCAACTCCTGATTGTAAAAAAGAAAAAATCATAGTAGTTTCACCTTATGAAGCTCTGTATCCTGGAGAAACCGATCGACTTCGTCTAGTTTCCAGAGCAAATGGACGCACTCGCTTTCCGTCAATAGCTGAAGGTACCCAGCCAAGGGTGAGGATTCCCCCAAGCCCTTCTCATACATCAGAGCCACAGAAAGCCCCAAAATCCCTCCTAAATCCATCGACTCAATCAACTCGCAAGCTTGGCTGTTCTTGATGGTGAGGCATGCTGCCTTCGGTATCGCCGCCACCGCCTCATCTTCCTTCAAGTCCCGCACAACCTTCACCGAGATGCCGCCACCCTCCAAACTATTGACGAACTCCATCCTGTCGGTCTTGTTAGAAACCTAACAAGAAAATTAGGTTTATCTATTTGGAGCTGAGTCGCAGACTAGGTCGTTCTCTTTAAGATGTTCGTGACACTGCTCTCATTGCGCACGACAGACTATCAACCGGTAGCCTCTAAGATAAAACAGCTTGTCTAGGTGCTTGAAGGTTTTGTGCGAAAACCAGAGCTCTCGGAATACACTCTCTCTCATCTTTATGCTCTCTGATTCTATTTAGAGGATCTTGGGAGTGCTCTATTTATGTGGAATAAGTCACGTTTTATTAGGAAGATAATTACTCTCATAATTAAAACGCGTTCTGTTGAGATAATTAACTCGAATTATCTCAAGAATATTCTTTTTATTAATTAGGATAATATCTATTTTTTATCCAAACCTTTTTCAGATTCTTTTATATTATCCAAACTTATCGAAATACTAAGAATTAGCCAAATGTTAACTTTCAATTGACAATTTTGTTGGTAATATTGACTTGGCAACATGATACTGACTTGGAAGAGACACATGAAGGTCAACATTGTAAAATTTTAGTATTTTAACTAAGAAAAGAGTTACAAAATTATTAACGATAACGTAAAAATGGCTAATATTTTGATGCATACGAAAGATTTGGATAATTAATATCATTTTAATATATTTGGATAATATAAAAGAATCTGAATATGGTTCGAATAAAAAATAGACATTATCCTATTAATTATCCTTCTAATTTTTATATTTACAAATAAAACTGAATAATTAGTTCAATATAAGTATATAACTTTAAAAAAGCTATTTATTCCCACCAACGGGTCCACAACAACCCCTGCGACTTCATCCACCGCACGAACGCCCTCAACCGACGGCTCATTCTCCGACCACCGGTAGTGAACTTCCCCCTCTATGTCTAGCAATTCCTCGAACGCTTGCTTGCCGCTCCGCGGGGTTTTCTGTTGGGTTGGGCCTTGAATTTTAAGTAAGCCGAATTTGGGCTATAGCTAGAAGAGTTACTAGTCCAGTCTGAGAAGAGGCCCATGATGACATAAATTTAAAATGGGCCCCGATTGCCGAAGTTAGCGAGAAGTTACAGCCCGGCGGTCGCGTCTGGTTTATAATTTGGCACACAGACTGGAGAAGGAGACGAGAGAGGGGAGGCTTTTGGTCGGGAAAGTGAGTAAAGGAAGAACCGTAGGAAACAGAAAGAGAGAAGAGGCAAGAAATTTTTTCCTTCTCCATTCTCTGTTTGGTTTCTCTCTACCTTCTTTGTGTTCTTGCCTAATGCTTGTCAATGGAATAAACTTGCTTGTATCCGTCTGTGGAATGCAAATTTGGATGCAATTCCAATTATGTGAAAGCAGGTTTTATTTTGTCATTTTCGTTCTGCTGCCTGCTTTCCTTCCTCGTGCCAAATTTATTTGTAGTCTTCATCGTGAGTTTCTCCAATCTGCTTTCCCTTCTTCCAATCTTTACGGTATCCAGGCTCTGCTCAAATTCATCTGTGTGTGATTCTAATTGGGTCTTGGAAGTTACTTGCGAAATTCCCCGGTGTTAAGTCTCCCGTCGCTGCTTGAGATTCATTTTGTCTCTGCACTCCTGTGTTGAACTGTTACAGCAGTGAATTGAAGTAGTCGCTGATGATGCATTGTTTTGGTTATTCCCGTTTTCTGCTTCTTCTTATTGCTTAAGCGTGAGATTTACCATTTATCAACTTCTGGTTTTGCAGGTGAGGTTCTTGGCAGATACTTGAAGAAGATACTCGATCATAGTTGAGTAATATTTTTGTATGGCTGCTTGTTAATTCTTTTTCTATTTGGTTGTCCTCGACATTCCTTATGAGTGGTCCTCCTAAAAGATCTCATGAAGAGGGTGGTCATTCCTCTATCCCGAAGTACCCACATGAAGATCCGAGCACATACCCCAAAATTGCACCTGGGGTGGTTTCAAGCGAATACCATTCCCCATATGACATGAGCCAGGATGCTCGTGCAGTAAAGCTTTCCCGTGATGCAGATAGAAAATCCCCCCTTCATTCACTGTACAGAATGCCATCTGCTTCGAATGATTCTTATATGGATACACATCCTGTCACTTCCGATAGCCGGCTGGAACTAAGAGATCCCAAAGACAGCAGAGAGCATCGAATTGACAACAGAGATCAAAGAACTGAAGCAAGAGAGATTTATAGTGACCCTAAGAGGGATCCTCAGAGTGTTAAACCTGATAAGGATGGAAGGTTGGAGAGCAGAGGAGATGGTAATAAGGAGGCAAAGCATGAAAGAGAAGCCCATAACGATGCGAAGCACCTTGAAGTGAAGTTGGAAAAGGATGCTTTGGTTTCAGCGAGCAGTCAAATGACATGGAAAGAATCTAAAGAATATAACAGAGGAAAGAGATACTCTGAATCTCCTAACACTCATGCTGATCCTTGGCATACGTCGCGTAGCAATCCCCAAGGTCAGCCTGAGATTAGCAGGGAAGGACAAACTTTTGAAGACAGGGACCATGGCGAGACATTCGAAACAGTTGGTGAAAATAAAGTTGACTCAAAAAATGAGGATAGATGCAAAGACAAGGATAGGAAAAGGAAAGACCTGAAGTATCGGGAGTGGGGCGAGAAAGAAAGAAATGATCGTAGGACCAACTTCCAGATGGGTAACAGCAGTGGTGATGTAAAAGATTCAGCAAGAGAGGAACGAGAACTGGATAGGTGGGAGAGGGAAAGGAAGGATCTTCCAAAGGACAGGGAAAAGCCAAAGGATAATACCAAACGAGAATCATGGAATGGTGTAGACAAAGAAAGTTCCCACAATGAGAAAGACATGGGCGATGCGTCTGCCAGAGTACCCGAGCCTGAAAATCCAGCTTTGGAACAGAAAAAATCCAAAGACTTTGATGCATGGAAAAATAACGACAGAGAAAGGAGAAAAGAGAAAGATGCTGATATTGACGGAGATAGACCAGAGAAGCGCATCAGGTTGGCTGATAAAGAGTCCGATGATGGATTGCCAGATGGTGAAGTTGGTACAGAAAGGGATCGTGATGCTTTTAACTACGGGGTCCAGCAACGTAAGAGGATGCTGCGGTCAAGGGGTAGCCCCCAGGTCTCAAATCGCGAGCGCTTGAAGCCACGCGCTCAGGAAAATGAAGGGTTTGTCTTATCTCTATACTGTCTGATGATTTAATTGCCAGCAAAGTTAGCTTGATTACATGTCTTACATTTGGGATGGGTGGTGTATGTTTTGAAGAGTAAATTTTTGCTTGAATTGCTAAAGTTCTTAATGTACATACTATATGTTAGTTATTGATTTCTTCAATTGTTGACAATGCCGCATAGAAAAGTGAACCTAATGCTGTGTATTAACTACAATTTTCATGCGTCGAGTTTAGTTTTTAGAAGGCATGGATACTTCAAAAATCTGTTACTCATTCCATTATGCATATTGATTTATGTTTGCAGACATAGAAAGAAGCTTATAGGTTGAGTTTTTTTTTTTGCAAAATATTAAGGGATCTGACTATGCATTGGTAGTACTTGGTTCTATTGTTTTCTTTTGTGGTTGTACATTAAGATCTCCTTCTAAGCCTCTCGAGAGGATGATCATGGAAGAAGCTTCTCCTAATAAAACATTCAAAAAAAAAAATAAAGGAAAAATCCACGACTGCTTGAAAGTAAGGCAAGTATATTTTAGAGCTGGAATTTTTTCTTTTTATTTTTTATTAGGATCAACGTGTTCACTTGTTTGGTCTTATTCTAAAGTTTTAGGAATTAAATTTAAGTCCTTGCATAAGAAAGGAAACAAAATTATATTTTTGTGAGGTATTAATCACATTAGAGTTTATGAGGTATGAGATACTTTTCAGCGATAGAACTTAAATGATGGGATGCTAGATAGTTTTCTCGGTGATAGATAGATGCATAGGATTTAGCAAATGACTATTATGGGAAATTATCTTCTTTGTGAAGTGGATTTTTGGCTTTTAAAAATTGTGGGTGCATTAATGGTAGTTCAAAAACTTTAGATTGAAGACCTGTGTTTGTTTACGCTCTTTTTCTAACTTAAATTTTAGGAACCAAAACTCAATGAACAGACAAACCCAACATTATCTTACTCTTTTCTGTGGCTGGACAGTAGGAAGACCTTGTATTTCTGACCTTTCTCTTTGTTTTTGCAGAACCCAAGGTATGCGCTTATATTCGCCTCAATCATTCTGGGACTATGTTTCCTGCCTGTCAGGCTCTGAAAGGGAGTTTGTACAGCCACTAGCTGTTTCGTTTTGGAGTTACCAATGCGTAAAATTCATCATTCTCTTTCTGTGTAACAAGTGCTGAAAGTTGATTTGATAGTCGCAAAGGCATTTCCTGTGCTACTCATCTTGTCATGAGCAGGAGTCCCACAATCAGAATATAAGGATCTCCAGCAGTTTCACTGCCTGAGACCTGTCATTCTTATAATGTTCTAAAAAGTTACTATGTCATAGTTGTTTGGCAGGAATTTGGTGTGTAATTCTATGATAAGAGACCTGCCAGTCAGGCAGTCTTTCAAATGTAGGTTCCAACTTGAAATTAACGGCATTCCTCTGATCTGAATACTTAAGGGTAATTGTAACAGCCAAGAGGTACTATAACCAATAGCAACTTCTGCTGAGACTGGCTGATAATGAGGGCTTATTAGCTGGAGTGTCGGCCTAATCATACCACATCCAAATGTTTGTTGTTGATTGTGACTTTTGATTCTTTCTGCTTGATGGTTGTGGTTGACTGTCTGACCAATATCCTCTCTAACATTCCATGATGGTGGAGACTTTTATCCTGTTCTTTGTCCTTCAGGTGATATTCCACCTTTTCTCCTTTGATTGTTGTTTTACAGGCTTCAACTGTATTATTCGTATGACAAATATGTGGTGTGTTCTTCATATAGAGTGTAAACAATAACATTGGGGTCAATAATGGCAGATCATGTAATGTTATACGAGCTTTATAGATTGTTTCCTGCATCAATAACCTTCAGCTTTGCTGATGATTCAGGGAAATCTGAGGTATCCTCTGTTGTCTACAAAGTAGGGGAATGCATGCAGGATCTGATAAAGTTGTGGAAAGAGTATGAATCAATGGAATCTGAAAAAAATGGTGATAGCACTCAGAACGGCCCCACTCTTGAAATTCGGATACCAGCAGAGAACGTCACAGCTACAAATCGCCAAGTAAGCATGGTGCTTAGTCTTCCGTCTGTGACTATCAGAACTATTGAATATGTTGATTTTCACCGAATTTCTTCACTTATTGTTTGTACACAAGTTCATAATTGCAGAACTAATTTTTACGAACATTTCCAAGACACAAGGCTTTCGATGAAAATGTCACGTTAGGTGTATAGGATTGTCATATTGGTTTGTCGATACTGTAAAGTGAGAACTTACTTTTGACTCAGGGGCTTAAGCTCTACTTGTGATTTATCAAACCATCAATGGTTGGTGAATTAGAAGTTGAGAGGGAGATCCACGTTAAGATGGAGCCTAACTTAACCGTGAACCAAGCTCTGCAGTGAGATGTTGTAAAAATGAAAAAAGGCCGGAATAAATTAAGTTTTTGTGGCTTTTCATGAACAGGTCAGAGGCGGTCAACTTTGGGGGACAGATATATACACGGATGACTCAGATCTTGTTGCTGGTGAGTTCTAGCACAAGTTTCATTGGTTCTATTTTACTGGAGTTGTCGGCGTAGAATCCAGTCATAGTTGGTATATAAACTGATATTGGTTTTTTAATCTTATTGAGTTCTTATGCATACGGGATACTGCCGGCCCAGTGCTTCTCCTCCTCCACCTGCTATCCAAGACTTACGTGCCACCATACGGGTTTTGCCTCCACAAGACAGTAAGCCCTCTTTATAGTTTCCATGTTTATGTTGCTTCTTTAGCATCCCAAGGTGGAAGTTATGCGTAAACATTAGATTATCATGGTCACTATTTTTTTTTTTTATGAAGGGGTGGTGTTTCTTGTACTGGAAACAAATAATATATGTGCTCCACAATACATGACCACATTATCTGCACTGCCAGTCAAGTTCTAGTATGGGAAACACATAATATATTTTCTTCCTTGGAATTAACTGAAACCTAATTTTTCAACATGACCTTGGCATGGTGTAGTCTACTCTAGGTGAGGTAGTAGTTACATAACTTTCAACGAGTCAACAAAGGACTCCATGGTAGATCGCTACTTCTAGAGGCTCTTTATGTGGCAGAGGTTGAGTATGGGTGAAGACTTCAAATCTAGGATAACAGTGGAGCCTTGAGAGAAAAATGTCCTAACATTTTCTGAGTAACACAAGTGACTATGCATCGTAGATAGCTATTAATCTCCGGTTCCTTGTTTAGATAATGTCCAGTGATAAATCTCTCTAATCTGCTTGTGTAATGACCATCTAATAGAAGTCAGATGCATATCTTGGGATCGGCAGCTGAATTCTTTTTCTTGGATAATCTTCAAACCTGAGCATTGTCATGTTTCCAATTTCTTTTCTGGGGCAATTTCCTTTTCTTTCTGTATATTGAAAACAGGTATAGTATTGGTAGGTTAACCATGGTTCATTCCCACATAACACAGGTAAACTGCAGCAGAGTGGGATCTTTGAGATTGAAATGCGGTTTCGTCCACTATGAACAGTATTAGCTTATTGATATGCTACATTCCACCCGTATGACAAATGATAACCTTAGTTAAATATGTCAATTTATTTTGCTTCCACTATGAACAGTATTAGCTTATTGATATGCTACATTGCACCCATATGACAGATGAGATACCTTAGTGAAATATGTCATTCTGTTTCTGTTTCGCTTCATTTTGATTTTTAGCTGGTTTTGACTGCTTGTCTAATGACGTGCCTAACATACTAGGTTATACTTCAATGCTGAGAAATAATGTTCGTTCGCGTGCCTGGGGAGCTGGAATTGGTTGTAGCTACCGTGTGGAGCGTTGCTGCATTGTTAAGGTTTACACACATCTTCTCTTCTGTTTAAGTTTTAGGTGTTTCTGACCAATTTCTTCCATTTCACCTTCATCAGCACAAAAGTTTTGCCTGCAGTCGTGCTGTTCTTTCTAATGTCATTTCTTTCATTTTCTGCCTATGGCATCCAATCATACCTTGGCTTGCATTCCAAGACAGAACTCCCCAACATATATGTTTGGGCTAAGCATACTGCAACCTGGATAGTTTGCCAAACTCTAAGCTGTACCTTATCTGTACTTCTTACCTTTTTGTCTTTGATTCCAGAAAGGAGGAGGAACCATCGATCTTGAACCTTGTCTGTCACATACATCTGCTGTTGAGCCTACTCTTGCCCCTGTTGCTGTTGAGCGGACAATGACCACAAGGGCTGCAGCTTCAGTATGACCTCATCCATTTTCAAAACCTTTTGTATTTGCAATTCATATTATTTACTCAAAACCGAATCAGAGAATAGTGGAGTGGCTAGAAAGACAGGCATTTTGTTAAATCTATGAATACTTTTCTGGAAGGCCTAGTAGTTAGTGACATTAAAATTGCATTGGGAACTGATACACCTGTGACCATGAGAGACTTATTTGAATTTATTTGAACCCTGAGACTGATCACTAGTAGCTGGCTTAGTGGCAATGAGGCATTAAAAATACTAATTTGCATTGGGTTTAAACCTTGAGAGTAACATCTTTGATTGTGCTCTTTGCCTACTTAACAGCGTAGAAGTTACTGAATAATCCCTACTCCTGCACGTTCTTATGTAGCTTTTTTTATGGTTTTCCAAATTTCCCCTCTTATTTTCAGAATGCATTACGGCAACAAAGATTTGTCCGTGAAGTTACAATACAATACAACCTTTGCAATGAGCCCTGGTACTTGTTCTAATCTCTTGAACAGTATATTTTATTCTTTTCCATGCACCATATGGAACCCATTCTTCTCGCTTATCTGTTTTCTTTGATTATATTTTTAATTTCAATGTATTCTTTCGTCACCACTGATCTGAATTGAGAAAAAACGCAATGAGTTTTCACTGATTTTGTTTGCCTGTTCAAATGTTTCATGTTCTCTTGTACTTTTGACATTAATCTTCGTTAATCTGCTACTATCTGAACAAAAGAAATGGCCTTTGAACTTGAATATTGTTTCACAGGATAAAATACAGCATCAGTGTTGTTGCTGACAAAGGCCTAAAAAAGCCACTTTATACTTCTGCACGCTTGAAGAAAGGAGAAGTTCTGTATCTGGAAACCCACTCTTGCAGGTAATATGATTTGCTGTCTTAATGTTTCATATGCAACTGCAATTTGCTTGTTGAATCTGGTTATGGCAAATGAATGAGCTCAGGACAACCTGAACTTTTCTCATGGTTATCTGCTTAGTCTCTTAGATCATATGCTTTCAGCAAACCTCAAATTAACTTAGAAGCTGCTTCTGGATGTCAAATCCTATTTGCCCCGTAAACTAATATTGACAAGATTTATTGCATCCTTTATGCATAGGTATGAGCTGTGTTTTACTGGAGAAAAAATGGTTAGAGCTTTTCAGTCCCAGCAGCATGAAGATACAGAAAAATCACGTAGTCATCTTCCTCCACATTCATCCGACGGTGACAGTTCGGATAGCATTCTGATCGATGCGTTCAGGTGGTCACGCTGTAAGAAGCCCCTGCCACAGAAGTTGATGCGGTCAGTTGGGATCCCACTTCCTCCCGAGCACGTCGAGGTACTGTACGTCTTTTGGCAACAGAAGCGACATCCTTAATTGTTTTATGACACCATCGTATTGTAAATATGTGTCTGTTGTCATGTAACCCTGAATTGAGGCTAATATTGAATTATTGCTTTGGAATACCTTCTCAGGTATTAGAGGAGAACTTGGAGTGGGAGGATGTGCAGTGGTCGCAGACAGGGGTGTTCATAGCTGGAAAAGAGTACACACTAGCAAGGGTTCATTTTCTGTCCCCCTAATTTGACGACTCCTGATGTCTTGTTTGTGTATGTAAAATAGAGATAAACGAAAGTGTATTATTTGTTAGCTACGGTTGAAGATAAATGCGTACTACTCTCTTCAAACACACGATCTTGTTAATCGTTGAATTATCACCACGTTTTAGTGCCCTTGTGTTTGTGTTCGTGCCTTTCTTCTGTCTTTCAATAGAAAAGAGGAACATGAATTCTATTTTTGACGCTACGAGAAGATACTATGAAGGAAGATATCAAGATTGTCTGTTAGAAACCAAAGTTTCTAATGGTGTGCGAATGGGGAAAAATAACTAGATCAATGAGGTTTTGATATAGTAGGGATTAGGAGGGTTCAAGAAAAAGGAGGAGAGGAGATTAGCTGCTGCGGCAGCTTTTAAAGAGAGGAGAGGAGAGGAAACATGAGAGGTTAGGGAGGAAGAAGGGAATTAGGGTTGATAATAATATTTTGTAATTGCATAATGGGGAAACCCCACTAATTATAGATTATATAGACCTACTAATAATTGTTCCATATCCAATTAAAACGACATAACAATAGACTCCCAAATCATCCCCAGAATTTCTCAAATAATCCCCAAACATCTAAAACCGACAAATAATCCCAAATAACAGAAAACATCAATTAATGAGTTTCTAACATCTCCGCCTCCTTGAAAAATAACCTTGCCCTCAAGGTTGTAGCTCCTACTCCAGCTCCGGATGTCTTACTTCCTCAGCTTCATCCTCCGCCTCGTCTTCCTAGGGTCCCACCAGCATCATCAAGTCTGGTTTGGCACACTTGTGCCCCACTGTGAACCTCTCAGCGCAGTTGAAGCACTTTCCTTCCCTTCTCTTCTGCTCGATCTCGGCCGGAGACAGTCGCACGAATCCCTTCAACAGCGGCCTAGGTTCCGGACGTGCTATGGTAGTCGTGCCGGTCGCTGTCAAGCCCGCCCCAGCAGGCGTGCTCCCTCCGCCGCCGCTAGACGCGGTGCACCACCCCCACTTCCGACAACCTTTGGAAAGCGCCCAATCGTGCTCCTCCAACTTGCTAGCTCCTCTTCCTTGTGACATGCAAGACGAAAAGCGGTCCTCAAAGAATCTGGTTCGAAAACCTTGACCGCAACGGCGATATCTGGCTTCAGACCGACCATACACAACCCAACTAAGGTCTCCACCAGTACACCCTTGCATTGGTTGCCAAGCTTGAAGAATTCCGCCTTGTATTCCGCCAGCGTCCCCGTTTGACGTAGTTTAGCCATTTGCTCCGGCGCCCACCCTTCCGACTTACCGAACTGGTACCGCAACTCCTCCTGGAACAAGGGCCAGGTGATCAAAGTCTGGGCAGCTGCGCACGACCACCCTAACGACTCCCACCACTACAGTACATCACCCTCTAAATAAAAAGACGCCAGATGCGGCTTTCATTCCTCCTTGGTGGGATGGTTCTTGAACCATCTGTCAGCTGCATACAACCAGAGGCCTGCATCGTCCTGACATTTGAATTTTGCAAACTCAATGGTAGGGGGTTTGGCCCTAAACACAAGATCACCATCACAACCACGAGGGTAGCCGTCATACCTGTCGTAACCCGATGCTCGGTCACGATAATCTCGCTAAAACCGCAGCTCTCTATATCGTCCCCACCCATCATCTTCCTTGAATGGGTACTCCGCATACTCGTCAAGTCCGCCCTTCTGCTCCTGCCTTGCATTCCAAGGTTCCGTCAATGGCTGCCCTTTCGCTCGCGATATTGGGAAATGGCTCGAGGACGCTCCCGGGCCACTGCCGGACTCCCTCCCGACTGTTGGAACCCTGCTGCCCATCCCGACTTGATTCGGGTCAGTTCAGTTTGGCCCAGGTCTGATTCTACCCGGTTCGGACCAACTGGTTCTGGTCCAACCAAACCGACCCGCATCGGTTTGACTCCCGCCAGACCACCCGCCCCGTGTCGGGCCCCATCCTAGTGGCTGATCTGCCTCTCGCACCATGCTCCGCCCGACGGCACTCCTTCCAGGTTCGGCCCAGCTCTTCATTTGCCCTGCCAAGCCACGCTCATCCTCTTTTGGATTCGTGCCATGCCACCCAAGCCCTTTGGGTTCCCTGCCGCGGTCGAACTCCACCCCTTGGACCACCGACTCGTGTGGTCCACTACTCCACTAGGGCCCAGGGTGATCATAGCGCGGCATTTTGGATTTTCCCCGTATGAACGCGATCTCCTGGGCTGACGGGGTTGGCAGCAGACCCAGCCCACTGCCGCGTCCACGCGGACCATGGCCCGCACGATCCGCGTTTCCCAGCCCTACCTCTTCCGTCTTCACTCCATCGACTTCCGCTGACTCACCACCGATGCTGCCGCCTGTTTCAGCCCAGTGCTGCCGCCTCCTGCCGAAGCCGACCCGCCGCTGGTCCCGCAGTCTCCGCTCGCAACCGGGATCAGGGTTCCTGGATTGGCCGCCGTCGAGATCGGTCTAGCCGTAGTCCCCGCCCCCATTCCTTGTGCCTACAGCATTGCCACCGCCTGCGTGAGGGTTTCAAGAAGTTTGTGATGACCCTCCGCATCTGCCCTTGCCGCTGCGCGCCCCCTCGTCAGCTCCTTTTCAAGGTGAGTCAGCGCCCCGACGTGTTTCTGCACCACCAGTTTCACCGCCTCGAGCTCCGTCACGTCCTCCACCGTGCCGTCGGTCTCCTTGTCGCGGGGCGTGGTTGTTTTCTCAACGGCTATAGCCTGAGCCCCCTTCCCCGCTGCTGCCTGTGATTTTGTTTGCACCATCGTCGCCTTTTGATCCTCCCTGGTTCAAGAGTTATGTGAAGTTCACTCTCGAACAAAGCTCTGATACCAGATGTTAGAAACCAAGTTTCTAACGGTGTGCGAATGGGGAAAAATAACCAGATCAATGAGGTTTTGATCTAGTAGGGATTTGGAGATAGGAGGGTTGAAGAAAAATAAGAGGGGAGAGGAGAGTAGCTGCTGCCGCAGCTTTTGGGGGAGAAAGAAATGAGAGGAGACGTGGGAGGTTAGGGAAGAAGAGGGGAATTAGGGTTGATAATAATATTATGTAATTGCCTAATGGAGAAACCTCACTAATTACAGATTATATAGTCCTACCAATAACTGTTCCATACCCAACTAAAACGACATAACAATAGACTCCCCAATCATCCCCAGAATTTCCTAAAGAATCTCCAAACATCTAAAATCGACAAATAATCCCAAATATCAGAAAACAATTAATGAGTTTCTAACATTATCCCAATAAGCTGCTCTCTGTAATGAATGGTTGTTTATTTGTATTAGGATTTAGTTAGGGTACCAATTAGTAATTTGGCTGTCATATAATAGGAGTGTAAAGAACTACAGAAGTCTATCTAATAACAAACAAACAGATTTCCTTCTTTCTCTATTCTTCTTTTCCCTTCTTCTGTTCTTCTTCGCCTGCTTCTTCTTCCTCAATCTCTCCTTCTCTAATTCCCTCTCTGTTCTCCAAATTACAGTTTCAGTTCCAATTCCTTTCTCCGTAATCCGCCGGGAAGATCCGGAGTGTTACACTCTCATTGTGGAGGTTGGACTCATTAATCGATTCATAAACTTTCGAACACGACATGGAAAGGAGGAGAAAAATTATAAAGAAAAGAAAGAAAAAAGTTGTTATGCCCTACATCTCTAAGGAACGAAGTAGTGAACCGGAGGGCGAAAGAGTTATGTTGACTCTATCATAATAAGAACTGTTACGCTTCTTTCATTCCTAACTAATCTATTGATCCTGTTTTAGAAATACGTTTTTCTTGAACTTTCAATTTATCTTATTTTTTACCAAACTTTGAAAAGTTATGGTCGTCCAAAGTTTAGCAAAATTAAAAATATGCAGAATGAAAAAAACAATTCTTGACGTTCTGAGTGCGTAGCACAAAGTTATGACCGTCCAAAACTTGCCAAAATAAAAAAATTTGCTCGTTCGGAGTAGCGAACGACATTTTTTGGGGATGAAGGCGGGACCATGACGGTTTTCGACTTCCAAGATCTCGAAAAGTTGTGCGGAATCAAAAACATTTTCACTATGATCGAATACCCGAGCACAAAGTTACTTTCGTTTGAAGTTTCGGCCGAGGTTAGGAGTTGATTGGAAAAAAGGTGAAAATTGCTTGGGGGGGGGGGGGGGGGTTCACCTTAACCGCTCCTCCCCCTGCGGTTTATCAAACCGGCCCGCCCCAATGCGGTTTTCAGCAAAAACCGCGCCCTCAAGCGCTTTTAAGAAAAGTGCGGTATATTTGGGATTTTTCGGAAATAGGTGGTATTTTTTATGTTTTTTAGTGGTATTTTCTGGAAAAAGCTAATGAAGGAGTTTATATAAAAGGAAAAAGAAAATCATGGAAAAAATATCTTGGTGGGAAAAATCATGTAATTTGACACATAAGGGAATGGTGCGGAATTTTGAATCATGTAGATAGTTATAATATAATATAATATATTATATGATTCATAAAAATAATATTATATGGATGTAGGTAGTGGTTGAGTGGAACAATGGGTTAATATTCAATATGTTTGGTGTTAATATAAGAAAAACAAAATCATGGAATTTGACAACTAAGAGAATGGTCAATGGTCTAGTAAGCTGAAAAGTAGCATGATGCTAAAACTAACTTCAGTAATTAGAAATATTTCATTTAAATGAGTTGTCCACAATTAATGAAGGGGAAAGGGCGGAGGGGCATGCTTGATATTATGAAAAATCGGGAAAAGGGAGATACACGCGTGTCTTGTGCAATTAAACGAGGAAGGGTTGGGGAACCCCAAAATCCATACTACAAGTTTATTAAAAAGACCAAAGTTTTTAAAAACAAACCACAAGTCTAGATCACAAGTTTATTAAACAGACCACAAGTCCCATAAAACACACTACAATTTTTTAATAATGGACCTATTTATAAGTTGTTAAAAGTTTATGTACCAAACTGTTAGAAAATTTTTTTTAGGCACTAAAATATAATGTTGCATCGAACTTTTAGTACTTATATGTAAAAAAAATTAATTTTAAGTACTAAAGCAAACCACAAGTAACCATATCACAAGTTTATTAAAGCAACACAAGTTTATTTAAACAAACCACAAGTTTTTTAAAATACACCAGAACCATGACAAAGCATGCCACAAGTCCACTGAAGCACACCATAAACCTTATAAGCATACCACAATTTTATTAAAGCAACCGCAAGTTTATTTAACCAAAGCACAAGTTTTCTACACCAGAACCCTGACAAAGCAGACCACAAGTCCATTGAAGCACACCAGAAAACTCATAAAGCAAACTACAAGTTTTCTAAAACACACCAGAACCTTAACAAAGCAGACCACAAGTCCACTGAGGCAAATCGTAAACCTCATAAAGCAGACCACGAATTTATTAAAGCAACTACAAGTTTATTAAAGAAATCTCATAAAACAGACCACAAACCTCATAACAGTGGACCTATTAATAAATTTAAAAAGTTAAGGTATCAAAAAGTAATAAATTTTTAGGTACTAAAATATAATACTTATCAATATTTTGAAGACTTATGTGTTAAAAAATTAATTTGAGACACTAAATATTGTGAACTATTAAATTTAGGTACCAAACTGTAATTTGTATGTGAAGAGGAAGGAGAAGGAGGATGAATTGGAAAAGGAAAAGGGGACGGAGGAGGGGTTAGTTACAATTAATGGTGTAGTAGCAATTGTAGGTTAATTCAATCCCGAGAATGGTGTAGTAGGTTAATATATTTTAATTGTAGGTTAATATATTTTAGGGACCTCTTACCATGCCTTGAAGTACCTATAACTTGACCTTTTGACCTGCTATAGCAGGTTTTATAGGTCGCATTACGTAAAACTAACGTTTATTACGTAACAATTACGTAATGCTTGTTAGTCTTACATAACAGTTAAACTAGAAGCGTTACAGAAGGTTTCCGTAACAACTTATCATTTTACATAACGCTAGGTTAATATTCATTACGTAAAAGCATCGTCTATTACATAAGGTTTTCCGTAATGACATTTTTTAATTGTTACATAAAATACACGCTCATTACGTAAAGGTTACGTAACGAAGGTTATTTCTTACGTAACAGTTAAATTAGAAGCGTTATGTAAGTCTTCCGTAATGATTTAACAGATTACGTGACGAAAGGTTAATATTCATTACGTAAAATGAGTGTCTATTGCGTAAGATTTCCGTAATGATATTTTTCAACTATTACGTAAGATAAACACACATTACGTAACCATTATGTAATGCCTATTGTATGTTACGTAACTGATAAGCCGTTAATTGCACATGTTTTTACCCCTATTCTGG